GCCTTGGGAAGTCTCCTATCTGACTCCCTCCTGCAGTGACTGCTTCTCACGGTGGTGCTGCTCTCCTTCCAGGGTTTAAGAGTAAAGATGCCGTCCCCAAGCTTGTGGCTGATTTTATGGCCAAGAAGTTTCCACTGGAACCATTAATTACCCATGTTTTACCTTTTGAGAAAATAAATGAAGGATTTGATCTGCTTCGTGCTGGAAAGAGGTAAGTCTTGACATTTTATTTATAGAGCCATTGAGGGAAAATATTATTTTTATGGCAGGGGAAATGGACAAAAGAAAATGAAGGAGAAATGGGATAAGAACAAAATGGGTTGCCTGGCTTTTGTCACCAGTTCAGGCTCTACACACAGACCTGTGAGCTTGAGCAATCTACAAACCTAAGCCTCATTTTTCACATTTCAGAAATGGACAAACTATGATAGCCTACCTTATAGTGCTGCTGTTTAGAATGAAGTTTAAATGAACAAGGCCTAAAAAGTTCCAACAAACTCTGTGCAAGCAGAAAGAATAAATGCCTGTTATTGGCCACTGTTACATTTCTTAGACCAGGCATGCAGGCTTTATATTATTTAAGAATGCCAACTAGGAACCAAAATCTAAATGGCAGTCATATTAAGATGCTCTGTGTGAGTTTAGAGCTGGAGACGAGGCAAGATCTGAACTAGGTGGATCGCCCACTTACAGACTTGACCTTGGTCGCAGGGATGGGCATGGAATGTTTGGGAACCGGGATGGATTTTCTGTAGACTCACAGCACGTGCTTTCTTCACTCCCACGGGGACTGTGAGTCATGGGAACGTGGAAACAACACCCTATGTTTCATTTTCAGTATCCGTACTGTCCTGACGTTCTGAGACCACACTGATGCCTTCCTCCTGCTGATGCCTCCACCACACTGAATCACAGCACCAGTCACATCACAGAGTTAATTTTGTTCCTTAGAGAAACTGCCAATAAAGTACTCATGAAAGTGTTCCAGGAGATACTGGATTTTCTTTGAAAGTGTTTTCAACCCTAGCAAGAGCTATCACACCTCATGAGGCTGGGAAACTGGTGGGTACCAGGCTTCCTTCTTCTTTGAAGGACCTTTGTCATCTTTCCTACTGGGGACAGTACATCTGTGACATCTGTCATTCTTTTCTCTCTGGAATCCACAGCCACTGGAACTCAGTGGAGCAGAGAGATCTTTCTGTGCCATACACACAGGACGATCCCTGTGCTCAGCCTTCCCGCCACAGTTTCCACTGTCTGTACTTTCTTCTTTATGAACTATGTGAGGATGGGTAACAGCACAGCATGCCGGGGAACACGGAACTGTTACCTGAAATAAGAACCAGTTGGAAATGCTGACTCAGCACCTCCAGGAATGCTATGGGATGGATAGGCTGCAAGTTAATGCTTGTGGTGTTTAACAAGTAGGCTGCTGTAGGACCAGAGAGCCAGGCACAGGTCAAAAAATGTTATTCCAGACCTGAAGAAAGAACAAACTGACATTTGATTATTTTCTATATCCACTTATCATTCTGTTACCCCATGCTCTGATAGCCATACTGAGAATTCCCTTTAAATGTTAAAATAACAACTTCATCCTGATACTTTAATTGTCTGTCAATTATGTAACAATAATCAAGAAGTGGATAATACAATAAAAATAGAAAATGATGTAAGAATGATAATGAGATGGGGGGAGTTTACCTGAAGTCAAATACTCTTCTGAGGAGATCCATTTGTCCTTGTATGAACAGGGTTGTGGACTTTGGGGAGGTATACGTACTTGAATAAACAGGTATGTTGACTTTGGAGAAGTATGTACACTTGTATGAACAGGTTTTTGACTTTAGAGAATTATGTACACTTGCATGAACAGGTTTTTGACTTTGGAGAATTATGTACACTTGCATGAACATGTATGTTGACTTTGAAGATATGTATGCACTTGTATGTAGACTTTTGGAGATGTATTGCACTTCTGTGAACATGTGTGTGAACTTTTGGACATGTATGTGCACTTTTATGAACAGGTATGTTGACTCTGGAGATGTATATGCCCTTGTAGGAATAGGCATGTAGACTTTGGAGATGTGTGTGCTCCTATATGAACAGGTGTGTTGACTGTGGAAATGTGTGTGCACTTGTAAGAACAGGTATGTGGACCTTTGAGATGTGGGTGCACCTATATAAACATATATGTGGACTTGGCTTGCTCATTTCATTCACCTATGACTCAGGGTCAGAAAACATTTTGCCTGGCACTGCTATAATTATCAAGAGAGAGACCAAAGGTTTCTCATTATCTCACAAGACTAAGTCAGAGCAGATTTAATTAGAGAGAGAAAAAGAACTGGTTTCTTCACCTCAGCCTGCTCCTTCAAGTATCTTGCATGTTAGTAAGTAACATAGTAACATTTAAGTATCAAAGCTGATAAGACAGATCACTAGATATCGTGTGTGTGTGGGGGCGCGCATTTAAAGTTGGAGAACAATGCTGGGTATCCTCATTCACTGATAAATGAACACTTCTTCTATGTCATTCCCACCCATCCCACACCCCTCAAGTCCTGTGCTCCCTTCTCCAAAAATTATGAGCCTGCTTTAATTATTGTTGTTACACACATTACCTTAGAGTTTCTACTGTTGTAATCAAACACTATGACCAAAAACACTTGGAGAGGAAAGTGATTTTTCCAGCTTACAGCTCCACATCACAGAGGGAAGGCATTGCAGGTCCTCAAACAAGGCAAGAACCTGGAGCTGATACACAGACCATGGAGAAATGCTACTCATTGGCTTGGTCACCACGGCTTGCTCGGTTGGCTTTTATATAGCACCCAGCACCACCAGCCCAGGGATGGTACCACCTGCACTGGGCTGGAGCTTCCCACATTGATCATTAATTCAGAAAATGCACCACAATAGTTTTGTGAAGATTGTGCACCACTTTGAAGATATGTATGCACTTGTATGTAGACTTTTGGAGATGTATTGCACTTCTGTGAACATGTGTGTGAACTTTTGGACATGTATGTGCACTTTTATGAACAGGTATGTTGACTCTGGAGATGTATATGCCCTTGTAGGAATAGGCATGTAGACTTTGGAGATGAATTCAGAAAATGCACCACAATAGACTGGCCTTACACACAGGCCAGTCTAATGGAGTCATTTTCTCAATTGAAAGTCCCTCTTCCCAAATGACTCTAGCTTGGGTCAAGACAACATAAAACTAGCCAACACAGGTATGTGTATGTGGGCACACACACACACACACACACACACACACACACACACACACAGTCAAAGAACTTGTTTCCATCATCCCAGCCCCCATGAAACTTTCCCATTGGTGCTGGGAATCTGAACTCAAGTGCTCATGCTCATTACAAAGTGAGCCCTCCCCACAGTTCATTCTCATCTAAATAGGATATTTAAAGATACTTCTCACCCAGATGCCATTAACTAACAGATACCAAGCTGCCTTAAGGAATTTTTTTAAAAAAACAAAAAGGGTTTTAAAACCAAGAGATTCTTAGTTAGTTGTAAATTTGAATAGGTGATGCCACATTGCAGGAAAGGGGACAGGAAGACAATGGGAAATAACTTTAAAAATGAAGTTTTCTTCTGAAGCTTCAGAAAAATTGGAACAGTATGAAAGCTAAAGGGAGGTAAACCCTTCAACAGAAAGATGGAGGAGGCAAGTAATCAAACATAGGAACAATTAGGCTTGGCAATGCACTTGTTACAGTTAAACACCCCCAAATGGAATTGTCTGTACCAAATCCAGAACTAAGAACCAGAGAGACTGTTATTATCAAGTTGACTGAAGTCAACTCTTGGTCGGCCTTTGGGGCCAGTGGGAAATGGGTATCTCTGGACTCACTTGAAAATGGAGTTGCTCTGACATCATTTTTTTATTAGTTCAAATTAGAAACAAGCTTGCTTCACATGTCAATCCCTTCTCCCTCTCCCTCTCCCTTCCCTTCCCTCAAATTCCCAGTCCCCCACCCCATCCCCCCTTTGTTCCTTACCCTCCCTGAGGATTCAAACTCCCAGTCCCCCACCCCATCCCCCCTTTGTTCCTTACCCTCCCTGAGGATTCCCCAAAGTCTGTCATGTCATCCTGGGCAGGGCCTAGGCCCTCCCCCATGTGACCAGGCTGAGAGAGCATCCCTCCATGTGCTCTGACATCATTTTTATAAAAAAATTGTTGGTTGAATCCTGTATTTAAAACCCCTTATGGAACTATTCAAAGTAGAGATAAATAATTTTTATTTATCCAGAACATAGAACCCTCTGAATATTAGATCTTCAGTATTTCCGGTTTAAGTTGGATTAGCAGACAGCATTGTGCCATCAGAGTCTTCTGTGCCTTCCCACAAGCCAAGCGCCTTTCCCAAGGGACAGCCCCACCCCTACCCATCATCTCCTACTGTCTCTCTCCATGAAGATTTTTCCTTACTGATTATCCATGTTTACACATAGAAGTTGAATTTATAAAGATCAAAACTTGAAAAATAAAGACAACTGCAAGGGATTAATTGTATGAAACTTTTTTTCAAGTAATTGTATGAACATTTTTTTTCAAGTGCACATTAGTTTTCTGAGTCCATGTGTAAAATGTACCACACAGTTAATGGTTATGGAGCTTACCCATTCATTGCCTTATGGTTATTTAGGTCAAAGAAGACATTTCTCTCTCACCATTATACACACTAGGTTCAAGATATCATCAGGGGTAATATCTGCCTCGCTCTAGATTCCTGGCCTGCACATAGATGGTTTCTCTTCTTTCCTTTATTAGCCTAGGGATCAGTTGTCCCCACACATTTCATAAGGGTACTGCTTCACTCACAGGTGCTGGAGTTCCTCTCAAAGAACTCCACCTCAAATACCATCATGCTTTGAATTAGGCATCAATATAATAATTTGGGCAACACACACTGACATTACTGTAGCACTGTATGTAAGGAAATCTTTGCTATCAAGTTCTCACAGTCTATTACAAAATATGATTAATAGCAATCTGATTGCCTTGAGTGTCTTTCCTGGAATCATGATGCAACTCAATTTTTACTATATGGAGAATGGTTTAAATAGGTTATGAAAACATATATGCATATATATGTAAATAATTTCCATCCTAGAAACTACTGGTTAGTTCTGAGTTGATGTTCACAGTGTGGTTGGATCACCGGTGGCTGCATGGGTGGAGAAACAAGATTATAGGAGTGACAAAGATAGGGGCATGGGGGGCAAAAAATGTTCAGAGTTTGAAAATGTATTGCTTAGATTCGATTCTTTGCCAATTTGTGATGTACTCAAAGTGGGAGACTGATTTCAATAGTTTCACAAACTGCCTTTGTATAACACCACTGTCCAAATTCTAACAGAAATGCAGATTTTGCTATAAAAAAACAAACTTAACCAGATACTGTAGCATATAGCTGTAATGCCAGGACTCAGAAGGTGAAAACAAGAGGGTCCCAAGTTTGGGACAAGGCTGGACTATATAGCAAGATTCTATCTCAAATTAAAAAAAAAAAAACAAGAGAGGGAAAACGACACTGGAAAGATTGAAGGGAAAGAAAAACAAAAAAAAATGTGCAAGAAAAATATTTTACCATATGTGAATTTCTCTTTCCAGTATCCACGTGCTTCTTTATTTAGGAAAAAATTAATAGAATATACAATAACAGAAACATCAGGAAAGAATTCAGTGTCTAACAAGCATATGATATGGTACCAAGACTTAGCAATGCTCAAACTACAGAATAAAGGCAGGGGCTATCTCTTTACACACCCCCTGGCCTATGTTCTCCTTAGACATATGAATGACCAAGGGTTCCTGGCAGCCATGTAGCAATATTTGTTAAAATGTAAAATTATACATGTTCACTTCCCCAACAATGTTACACTTGGGA